GCAAAAAGAAAAACAAATGAACAAAAGATCTCAAGCCACAAAGCTTGGGCCGTTTCTAGGCCCACTGTAATGGGCCCATTTGGGCCCGGTGCAATTACTGTTATGGTACAACCACCAAGTGAGAAAGTTTGTGCAATAGTAGAGCTAACTACTGCTTTTAGAGCTAGTGCACCTAAAATTGCACCAACACATTGTGCCACCATGTAAATTATGGCTCTTGACATGGATATAATTCCGACGAGCGCGGCGGAGAAGGAAATAACGGGGTTTATGTGGCCGCCGGACACCGGAACAACGGCGAGAAGCAAAATTGTAATCACAATTGCTATGAGAATTGACATGATCAAATTTGGCATTTTCACATCACTTTCAAAGGTGGAGATGACTATAGTGTCCAACATAAAAACAAGAACGGCCGAGCCTAGGAGCTCTCCCATTGACGCCCGCCATACCTATCATCATAAAAAGTTTAACTTTTATACACTGACAATTCAAAAAATTATTATGATCACTCCCTCAATTTATTCTATCTGAATAGTGGAATTAACATAATATAGACACATTGTTAGCCTATTCTTTATAGAAGTTTTGTGAAGACTGAAATAGAGATGAAATGTACTAACATCCAAAGAAAAGAAGTCAGAAATTCCCAGCCTTTGTGCCACTGTGAGAGAAGTATGCTTCTTTCCCTCATCATCAATATTCCTGCTAAAAAGAAGTCAAGTACATACATTATTAGGACAAAGGGGGAAAAAATCAAACAAAAGGTAAAGTAAAGAGTTATGTTGCTCTAATTTTTCAAAAGTACCGGCGGCTATGTGCCGAATTCTTCAAAAGTAATATATTTTTGGAGCATTTGCCACAAGTACGATATCATATTTTGAGAGTCCTAACAACATAGTTTAAGAGAGAGGGGGGAACATTGACACATCGTGCAGACAGTGGCGGAGCTAGAATTTTTATTAAGTGGTGTCAAAATATGTAAAAGTAAACATACCAGAAAATTAAGGGGAGTCAAACATAGTATACATACATATAAATTTATTTTTTTACCTGCCTATACAATATATGTTTTCTGCAAAGGGGTGTCATTTGACACCCCTTCCTATAAGGTGGCACCGCCACTACGTGCAGAATTAAATATATCGACTAATATGAGTTGGATCTTCCAAAAGTAGTACATTTTTGGAGGATCCAATATGGTTGCACACCTACAGTAACATATATATTTGAAAAGTCCGAACAATATAGGTTAAGAGTGAGTGAGAAAGGACAATGTCACTTACTTTTTTGGTGTAGAAGAGAAAGGTTGAACTCTATTACTTCCACCAGAAAGCTGGCTTTCTTCATCACCTAAAACATGACTAGTATTGGAAGCCATATTTGGGAGAAGAGATGTTGCTTTAGTTTTAGTTTTTAATGATTTTTCTCTGAAATTGTGTGCATATGGATTGGTTATAAATAGTACTCCCAACGCTCACTGCCTATCTGCTTTTGTATTAAAAAAATAAGACAAGTAGCTAGTTCTGTGTACGTGTATACATATCAATAGAGGCGGAGCCCGAATTTAAAGCTTATGAGTTTGAAATTTTAATTATTTTTAAGTTACTGAGTTCTAATTTAATAATTTGTACATGTTTAATAAATTTCATCAAATAAATATATGGATTTGAACCAAAACTATTGGATTCGACCGAATCCGTAACTCGCTCATATCAATTGACAATCAAGAATCTTTTGGCCAATTTTGTTAGAGGAGTCAATTCTTTATTCATTGCGTTAATTAGTATTTTATTATAATGTACATTCTACTACTAAATGTAAGGACTGAGACTGTTTTAATTAGGACTACTTTTTATGGTTAAAGAAATTATTCAGAATAGAAAGCCGTACTTTTTCAATTCTTTGTATCTACGAGTTTTGGGAATCTAAAATATTACCGCTTCCGTCTTAGATTATTTGTAGTTTTTTTGTACGGCCCTCAAGCAACATTAACTAGAAGTGAATTTTGACTATTTTACTTTTATTTATATTTTAACTCTCTTCATTAAATATTTATTTTATTTATGTGTTACCTCATCTTCAAGAACAATTACTATTAAGGGTAAAATGAGAAAAAATAATTAATGTTATCTTAAACTTCAGAAATAACGAATAATTTGAGATAATTTTCTTAGAAATCACGACTGATATTTTGAAACGGATAGAGTACTATCTCCGGTCCAGATTATGTACCTTTAAAGGTATTTGCACATTACTTGAGAAAAATATTTAACAACATTAATCATAAAAGTATTTGTCTAAAATATCATATATCACTCTGTTATCTCAATTAATTAAGATCTATTAATTGAAGAGAATTCGGAGAAAAGATTACAATAAAAGAGACATTAACACATCGTGCAGAATTATTATGATATAAAAAAACATTAAAAGGGAAAGAGACAATCCAATAATGGAGATCGAGTATCTTGTTTTTTGTGCATTGACAGTTAAAATGTATCAATTTTTTCCACTTTATATTATATGAAAGATCAAAGTGAAAGTCTCGTTATTGCATAAGCAACCGAGAGACTATAGGGATTTGCGTTGCTGGCTCCAAGATTTTTGGTTTGACGTGAAGAAGTAATAAATGAAGCCATAGTCATCCAACTTCTCTATTTCAATAATAGTATAGTCTAGCTTCTTGATTTTTGTGGTGCATATTTTTAGCATAAATAGATATGCAACTAGGATATATGTGATTCTTTTTTATTATCTTTAACCATTTAAATATAAATTACGCTTCAATTCTAGACATATTGAGATTGGCTACATGATTCTCACTGATCATAATTTTTGTATTGTGCGAATTCATCATGAATTCGACAAGTTTTAATACAATCTTCTTTTTAAGGAGAGTCTTGATGTAACTGATAAAGTTGTTGTTATGTGACAGTAGGTAATGGATTCGATCCGTGGAAACAACCTCTTGTAGAAATTTAGGGTAAGACTGCATACAATAGACCCTTATGGTTCGACCCTTCTCCAAACTCAATGCATAGCAGGAGCTTAGTGGACCGGACTGCCCTTTTTAATATATAATCTGGTTTTCTTCTTTTGCGCTCAATTCTCATTCTTTATTCGGACTTGAGACTTGCAATGTGAGCAAGCTCACATACGCGGAGTTAGTTATAGTCAAGTTAAGTAAACTTAAAATTTTAAGAAAATTTCAAATATTTAAAATTCATGTTAAAGGTTAGTATATATAGTTAGAAATTCATAACAAAAGGACATAAATGAATGTTTAATTGTAGATAATTAGGTATAATCAATCTTAAACCATGATCCATAAAAGTACTTTTTTTCATTTTTTAGTATTATGTAAAAATGGTTTTCCTAATTATTTAGTATTGACTCATAAATAAATTAATTAAACTTAATGTGTGCATTGAGTGTGTGTAAACTCTTCTCCAAAATCAACTAAGCAAATAGCGAGTTCATTTTTCTTTCTTTTTCTTGATTATATTTTCTTCTTTTTAAACCAATCAACAAATAAAAAGAAAGATGACGTAGAAAATTACAATTAATAAATGGAATTTAAAGATACAGGTAGGGGTGTCAATGGTTCGATTCGGCCGGTTATTTTATAAAATTTATACCATACTAATTTTTCGGTTATTCTATTATGTATAACCAAAATTAGACTTTTCGAAACCGTCCCAATCATGTCGGTTTCACTTCGGTATCCGTACGGTTCGGTTAATTTTCGGTATTTTTTTAAATGTCATGTAAAATTTACCAGTAGAAGTAGAATACAATAACATACGTTCTTTTATAGGACTTAGCAAAACTCTCTAGGTATTTTTATTGTTTAAAGGTGATGAATTAATAAAAAAACATGAAAGATGACTAGAGTATCCATCAACTATTCGACAGCAATATAAAAGAAACCAAGTAAAAGCAAAGAAAAAATAAATCACACGAGTGGAAAGATATTAATCAAGCCGGGACTCAAGAATAAATTCTATATTAAATATTCAAAAAGATAAATCTAAGTTATATGAAAGGAAACATATTCAATACATTGCAGTTTGCTACTCATAATCGCTAGAATACTTGTGTCTTGCTAACAAAGATACTTGAAATAACTTAGTTTAAGTATAAGTAGCATAATAGGTTTTAGGAATTAGTATTTTGAGTTTAATTACTTGTTGGCTTGTCACAGTTTTCATAATTTCAAGGCCCAATAAAAAATTTAATGCTTTATTAGTTTTAAACTTACTCTTTAAATATATTTTTCACATGTAAAATTTAATCGGTACGGTTCGGTATTTTTTCGGTTTATTTTTATAAAATAAAAAACATATCCTAATTATCGGTACAGTTATAGATTTATATAAAAACCTACGATTTCTTTAAAAGAAACCTAAAAATCAGTTTAGTGCGATATGGTTCGGTCGATTTAATCGGTTTTTAAATATTCATTGACACCCCTAGATACAGGCGGGGCAATCTTTTTGTTGTTAGAGACTTATTGCAGAATAAAGAGGCAGACAAGGGTTTCTCGTTCTTTTCTTCCACAATAAATTAAACCGGTCAAATTTATAGCAAGTTGTCCCACAAAGTTAAAGAGCTCATGTATTCATTTATAATTATATCTATACTTTTATCTAATTAAGTCAGAATTTAAATTTCAATTCTACTTCAAGATTGTACGTAATTTTTAAAATGTTTCACATACTTGGAGCCCGTTTGGTCATGATTTTTTTTTTTTTTACTTTTTTCTACTTCAGTGTTTCACATAAATTTTTCAAAAATTTGAAAAACTCCAAGAAGTTATTTTTCACTCAGATCACTCACAAAAATTTAAAAATAACCCAAAAATTATATTTATGTGCAAACACAAATCTAATTTTCAAATACCATTATCACTTGAAAAAAAATCACTTTTTTTCCTGGAATTTTACAATTTTTATGTCCAACCGCCCACTTAAAGCAAAACCTTGCTAAATAGTAAACTTTTTTTTTTGGTCAACAAACCAACTTATATTAATTTAAATTGTGACATTACAAGGAGCTTGTTGCAATACATTACAAAAATTGTAATCAAAATGATGATCGTTGGAGTGATCACTTTCCAAAAAGGTCGGACTATAGGACAATTTGATTGGACATGTCGTCTTTACAGATCTTGGGTAGGGAGTACCTTGTTGATCAGCCAAAAGATGTGGTAGCAAAAAACTTGGTGGTTGGGTGAAGATTGTTGTGTAGTCTCCCACATAGACAGTGGAACCATTTTGAGCAAGAGTATGTGCAACGTAGTTTTGCTCCCTATATGTGTGGATAATCGGAGGATACTCAGCTGCAGGATTAAGTGCCTGCATTTCATTAAAGTAGATGAGTAGTGTAAATTATCTTTGTTAAGCATTGATATTATCAATCTAAAACACAAATCTTTATCAATCTAAACAAGTCCTACTTCAACCACAATTTTATCAAATACCCAATACTTGACATATCCAGAAGCCATGGGATTTCGTTTGTTACCTATGATTTCCGGTGCCAATCAAATCTACAAATTGCAGTCTGTTCTTAAAAGGAATCATTCAGATGTTCCTAAAGGACATTTTGCAGTTTATGTCGGAGAGATTGAGAAGAAGCGATATGTGGTGCCAATAACATACCTGAACCATCCTTCGTTCCAGAACTTGTTATGCAAAGCAGAAGAAGAGTTTGGATTTCATCATCCAACGAGTGGTCTAACAATACTTTGCAATGAGAATGATTTTGTTGACGTGACTTCTCGATTGAATTTATGAAATGAAGAACCAAGAAGTAGCATTCTGAGCTTCAGATTAGAGCTAGCTTAGAATTTTCAGTTTTTGTTTTCCACGTTCACTTCTAGTGGTATGAGTTGATGAAGACATGCTAATTGCAAACCCTATAATAATGCATTTAATTCCATATATGTGGAGTTATCTGTATCTCTTGTACCCATGAAGCCTAGTAAACATTGTCCCATTGTATTGCGGAATACTCCTCTTATACCATTTTTAGATGGATTACTTTTGGCGGTTCCATCAGTGTTTAGTTTAATTTTACCTAGAGGTGGTGGATGTCATTTGACATACATGTATGTGCGTGTTGGTGCTGACGCATTTTGTTTAATAAGGGAATGATATTCTACTGCTTGTGCTATCAAATGTTGTGTTGAAGGAGGCGGGTGTGAGTGCCTATTAAAAAGATAATGATTCTTGAGTTTCCAAATATGCCATACTACGTGTGGGATAAGAACGCGTGATGACAAGTTGAAAGGGGGGTTGTTAGTATTATTGACTAAGTGCTATATGATTTGGATGGGTGCTAAGAGTTGGATGTCACAAGTATGTACCGTAGTGTCAATCCTCGATTGAGACCATATAGTGGTCATGATAGGGCATTGGAATAGTAGGTGGTTAATTGTTTCTATGCTTTGAAGAAAACGATTGCCATATTGGATTGTGTGGCATTTGTATGGTGTTGGTATGTAGTTGTGGCTAATCTTTGATGTGAGACTAGCCAAAGGAAATGTATTATTTTTGGAGGTAATTGTAATTTCCAAATCTAATTGTGTGCGTAGGCAGTTTTTGGTTCGTCTAGAGTGTAGTATAATGATTTAACAGATAACTGGCCATTAGGAGTGAGCCCCCAAATGATCTGATCAAAAGCGTGGGGGATAGTTAAAGTAGGGATATAGATTTGGTTAATCAATGAAAGTGTGTGTTCTGGAAAGACAAAGGATAATGAATTGGTGTCAATTTTATTGTTGATGATGTGGTGGCTGAGTGTGGCATGTAATTCATGAGAGTTTAGTGGTCCTTGTATAGAATTTCGAAGGATAATATTAGGGCCTAGCCATGGCTCGTTCCAAATGTTGATGTACGTTCCTCTAGCAATATTTCATACTAAGCCTAATTGGCAAAGTTTCCATCCTACTTGTATATTTTTCCACGTAAGGGATGTGGTAGAGATCTTGGTGATGTTTTGATACTTATTCAATAGTAGAGATGCCCAGAGGGTGGTAGGGCTTTTAAAAAGATACCAAGCTAAGTTTCCTAACAAGGCATGTATTTTTAGCAGTTAGGTTTTGAATACCTAGACCACCTTGATGTTTAGGTTTTTGTACTACTGACCATTTAATCAAGTTAATTTTCTTTTTGTTTTCAGTGGCACCCCAAAGAAAATTTCTTTGATAGCGATTCAATCTTAGGAGTACTTGGGAAGGTATTTTAATGTATTGCATTACGTGGTTTGGTAATGTATTTAAGGTAAATTTTATTAAGGTAGTATGTCCTGTCATTGAAAGCATATTGATTTTTCATCCTGACAACTTAGTTTTGAAGTTGTTTAAGATGTACTGAAAATCACGGGATGTTGATTTATTAACAAACAATAGGAATCCAAGATATTTACCAAAAAGGACACCCTCCCTCATGTTAAAGGAGGTTAGGACAAATGATTTGTCCACTGGTGTGGTATTACTGGAGAAATAAATTTTGAATTTTGTGAAATTGATACTTTATCCTGATTTTTGTGTAAAAAGTAAAAGTGTATCAATAATTGTGTGGATACTAGATGTGGTTAGTTTGGAGGTCAGAGTGATATCCTCCGCAAAAAGTAGATGTGAGAATTGGGGGCTTTTGTTGGATAGTTTGATTATTTTCCATTGTTGATAATCCACTAATTGGTCTATTTGTCGTGAGAGTCTTTCCATGCATAAAATGAAAAGGTAAGGGGATAACGGATCTCCTTGCATGATTTCCCTCGAGGGAAAGAAGAAAGGTGAAGGGCGACCATTGATAAGAATTAAAATAGAAGTGGTTGTGATACAAGACATAATTATAGAGATGATTTTATGAGGAAAATTAAAGTAGTGTAATGTTTCTTTAATGAAACTCCATTCCATATTGTCAAAGGCTTTTTCTAGATCTAGTTTAATCAAAAAATTTGCTACCTAACCTTTCTTCTTACGGAAGTAGTTGAGAATTTTTTGAACGATTATGGCATTATTTGCTACTCTACGCCCTTTTAAGAAGGCAGATTACTCTGGACTAATTATTTTATTTATGAAAGGTTTAATACGATGTACAATTATTTTAGTGATTATTTTATAGATAGTATTGCAAAGCCCGATTGGGCGATATTGAGTAATTATTGAAAGCTTTTTGACCTTAGGAATGAGGCATATATATGTTTCATTAATTTGATTAGGTATTTGGCAAGAGGTTAAAACCTCATTACAAAAGGAGACTACTGATTGGGCAATTTGTGGCCAATATGTCTGATAGAAAAATGGGTGTAAACCATCAGGCCTTGGTGCTTTAAGGGGTTGGAACGATCGAATGGCATGATGTATTTCCTGAGTGGTTAATGGGCGTGTCAAAATGGTATGATCCATGGCAGTGAGTGTATGAAAATCATGTGTATGATGCTTAATGTAGGAGTGACTATGGGTAATGGTGAATAAAGTGTTGTAATAGTTAGTTATTAAAGAATTTACTAGTGACTGTTTCGTAATCCAATTACCTCCTACATCTTTAAGAGCTGTGATCTTGTTCCTTCTCCATCGTTGAAGTGTTGTGAGATGGAAGAACTTAGTATTGGCATCCCCTTGTTGAAGCCAAATGACTCTGGATTTTAAGCGCCAAAAATCCTCTTCCATTCTAAGCAGCTGTTAAATTCCTCTATGAGGTCTTTTTTTAATATTTGAAGAAAATGACTAGTGGGATAACTAGGTGATGATTGAAGCCCATTAAGACGAGCCAATATATATTTTTTTATTTTCTAAAAATATTTCCAAAAGTGTGTTGATTCCAATTTTGGACATCTTCAGTGAAATCAGTAATTGTTGTCAACAAATATTTATTAGGAGTCCACTTGTTGGTAATAGGAGTAGGGAAGGACGAGAGGGACGACCAAAAGATTTCAAATCGAAATATTTTTTACGAGGAAAATTTTGTTTTAATTGAAGAAGTAACGGACAATGATCTGAATGAGTTCGTGGAAGATGTTGTACATTGGCTTCAGGAAATAGATTAAGTCATTTATAATTACAAACAAATCTATCTAATCGTTCTAAAATTCTATTAGCTAAGCATCTTTTGTTTGTCCAGGTATAGCTACTCCCTCTAAAGCCTAAATCTAATCAATTACAATAGTCAAGACATTGGATGAAATGGTCACATCTGAATTATTTATAGGGTTACCTCCATATTTTTTATTTGCACGTGTTATTTATTAAAATCACCCCCGATTAAAAAAGGCATATGGATATTATCATGCATATTCATTAAGTGATCCCCTAAAGAAGTATGTGTATGCAAGTCATTTTTTGCATATATAGCTGAAAATAACCAATTATTAGGGTTAGGAGGTACCTGGACAATAGAGTGTATGGCTTCTGAAGTCACCTCTATTTGGTCAAGCTGGAGCAGTTCCTCATGCCATAGTAGTGCGATACCACCTGAGTGCCCTTATGCTGGTGCTTATGCTATGTTTGTAAAACCAAACTCTTCCTTCAAATGAGCATGGCTTTGGAGGTGAGTTTCCAGCAGTGCTACTTGGGTAGGTTAGTGGTAGTTGAGTAACGATCGAAAATTTCTCTTGAAGTCTTGTGACTGAGCTCCACGATAACTCCATATTATAATCTGCTTTTAATTACTGCGGGAGGGGGGAGGGTGGTGGAGTCTGTGGTGTCTCCGCTTGGGGAATTGTTGTTCCCAGTAGTGAGGGAATCAATACTAGCCCGTACTTTCCTACCTCTGGGTTGTTTGTTGGTCGGAGATTGAGTGAGCAGCTTTGAAGTTCCGGCAGGTACATGATGATCACCTTTCTTGCATATTGTTCTTTGAGGTTGTAATATTTGTTGTTGTCGAGGAAGCACAAGATTGGTTGTGTTTCCCTGATGTCTGTCATTATTGCTGCCACCTCGAGTTGCTCTATTTCGTCGAGTACGTTGGGAGTTGCTTGTGGTGGATGCACTGGAGTGGGTTGATAGGGTACTACTTGTGCATGCAAGGGGGATGGGATATATATGGTTGACCTTTGTTGTATCATGGAACCAGTGAGTGTGGTGAAACTTGTGGTGGATAAAATAGTAGATCCATGGAAGCTGTTTGATTGTAGTATAGTGGGAAGAGTGGTGTGTGTGTGTTTGGAAGTGTTGCATGGACGAGGGTGTATGCATGGCCCATAGATACTAGTTGTAGAGTTCCACCCCTATCCCCATGCCTTCCGTTACTATCTGTGCAATATCTGCTGGGTTCTGGAGCATGAGTATCACTTCCTGGCCTTCCACCTTTATCGTGTAAGTGCATGTTCCTGTAGGCCCATTTCTAACCATGATTGAGGGTAATCTTGTGTAGGTGGATATTGAGCGATGTAAAGTAGTGGCAGGTTTCGAGGTGGGTTGTTTCAAGGGTGGTTGATGTTGCGATTCATTGTTATGGGATGGTTGAAGAGGGGTGTATTGGAGTAGGAGAGTGTTCTCCGGTGTTGTAGATTTAATGGTAGACGATTCATTTTGGTATTGGTTAGTTGTATGAGCAGGTTTGTGTGTAGTAGTAGTGGAAAAATATGGTGGTGTGATTAATGTGATGGTTTCAGGCTCTAGGTTAATTGGAGTGGTCAGTGGGTGCGGTTTATTAGATGGTGTAATTGATGGTATTTGGCTGGTAGGGGTAATGTTACAGAGATGTTTTGCATGTGAAGTGTGTGATAGGTGTTGGGCTGAATGAAGAGTGTGTTGGTTGGAAATAGGCTGTTGAGTCGGCTGTGGGCTTGGGAGAGTAAATTTATTAGGGCCATCATGAGTTTGGGTATTGTATTGTGTAGAAGTTGAATTAGGGGCTACTTCTGATAGAGAAGACGAGGTGGCTTCCACGTCAGTATTATTTTCCACGTGGCTTAAGGGTGCATGGGATTGGTTTGACGTGGAAGGAAGAAGGGATGATTGGTGACCTTTGTAATGAGTAGGCGTGCTGCTTGCCTTGTGTTTTGGGCTTTGGGTGGTTAGTTCTGATTTAGGAGAATTTGTATTGGGCTTAGGAGTGGTTAACGTTGGGCTAGTTTGAGTGGTGGCTGAGTCCATCATAGAAGTATCCATATTTTTCTCAATTAGGAGTAATATTTTATTATTAAA